TTAACCCCCTCCAGCCCCTGCACCCCCTCCAGCCCCTACACACCTCCTTCTCTCCGTAAGCGCCTCCAGCCCCTTCACCCGACCTTCCATCACTCCCTCATTGGTCTTACTCACCGGAAATCCCTCTGTAATATGACCCCTCCTCCTTGAAGATATGACAGTTTGGAGTGTATTAGCTAAAAGGAAAGGTTGGACAAACTGGGATTGTGTCGCTTCAGCATCGAAGGATGAAGGGTGACCTGATAGAAGTGTATAAGGTTGTGAGAAGCATGGAGAGTGTGAATTGTTGGACTCTCTTTCCCAGTGCGGAAATGTCAAATAGTAGGGGACACACGTTCAAAGTGAGGGGGTCACCTTTTACACAGAAAATAGGAGTAGGAGTAGGCCATTCAGCCCCTTGAGCCTGCACTATCATTCAATGTGATCATGTAATTTCAGTATCCCACTGCCGCTTTATCCCCATACTCCTTGAAGAAAGTCCTTTAAAATCACGCTCCCTGTGCAAAGTTTTAGACACTCAATCTCATATCACCTTCTGCAGCACAGGAGTGAAGTTTGTGTTTAATTTAGTCACCTGTGAGGTGTCTTGGAACTTCTTATTAATGACTTTCAGGAAGATGGAGGTTTTTTTTTGGAAGCGGGGGGGTGCACCGCCTTGCTGATTGACTGGAGGATGACTCAAGGAACGCAGAGTCCAACTCTGAGGAGAGTCGAGTGGTGACATCCACGAGAGGAGCTCAATGCCTGATTGTGGCCCTGTCCCACGGTGGAACGATGCTGCCACATTGTGGTGCGAAGCAGTATCGCAGGGGCTGGCAGCATCGATGCGGGCAGAGGGCTGGCGGGAGACTCCGGAGGCCGGTGCGAGCTCGGCACACTCCCCATTCCGGTGAGAAGCCATTCGGCCCCTCGAGCCGACTCTGCTGCTCAACCGGGGAGGCAGCAACCACTGTCATTGCCGCTCCGAGCTGCCAATTTTCTGTGCCCCCACCTCAATGTAAAAATGCTTCTTAATTTTACTCCCGAAAGGGTCGGGCTCTTTTTATTCAATGTCCCCTTCCCCACGGACTCGTCAGGCAGCAGAACTAGCTCCCCCCAGGCCCCCTGTCCCTACCCTGTTGATTCCCATTTCAATCCCAGAATTCAAATCAACCCCTAATATTCCAAACTCCAGGGAGTAAAATACAAAGTTTGGGTAACTTCCCCTCGTGAAGATGCTCTCAGATACGCGGTGTAATTCTCGTCAACGTACATGGTGCTGCGTCTGAGGCCAATCTGCCCTTCGTCAGGCCTACTGCCCAGAATGGCTCCAAGTAACTCCAGGCCTGGTCTGACCGCACAAAGCAACCCACCCCACATTTTGTAATATCTCCCTCCCTGCCAAAGTCTCCTCAGATGTCTCCATTTCAAAATTACTCTATCCTACCATTTTGCGGGGCCTTGTTAAAACTAAGAAGACGACCTCTTTGGGGAGGAGATTTCAGGGAAGGAGTTTGAGAGTGCAGTCATGCAGCGCCTGGCACTTACATCACAGGGACAGGCCCTTCAGCCCCTCGGATCTGTGCTCATTGGAGCACACCGACCACCGCTGATTTGGGATTCTCCACACCCCACCAGAAATGGCAACACTGATCAAACAGCCTCCGACAAAACTCACTTTCAAAACCACATCCCGGTCACAACCCAAACCATACTTGTGTTTCATTTCTTCCTTTCACTCCGTCCCTGCCTCTCTCTCTTCAATCTCCTCTCTCGTTCACCACTCTCTGCTCCTCATGGCAGACTGTTATCTCATTGGCTGGCTAATGCATGGCAGAGGGTCGGTTGTAAAGGGGTCTTTTTCAGTTTGGCTGGATGTTACAAGTGGTGAGCTGGGACCTCACTGCTGAATTGAATTGAATTAGGTTTATTGTCACGTACTCAAACGAGTACAGTGGAAAGTTTATAAGTCGCTGCACTACAGCACCATCTTAGGTACTGTTTACAATTTATATGACTTAGATGAATCACTGGAAGATATGGCTTCAAAATTTGCCGATGACAGTTTGTAAAATGAGTTGTGAAGAGGATGTAAGGAGGCTACAAAGGATTAGATAGGTTCAGGGACTGGACAAACATCTGGCAAGGAGAGTAGACTGGGAAAATGTGAAATTGTGCATTTTGGCAGGAAGATTTTAAAAAAAAAAGCACGTTGTCTAAGTGGTGAGAGGATTGCATAGTTCTGAGATGCAGAGGGATCTGGATGTGCTAGTACACCATGCAGGAACAGCTAGTGATTCGGAGACACAGCGGAATGTTATTATGTACCATTCTGAGCAGGGGAAGTCAGTCGATCCGAAACATCAGCTCTGATTCCTCTCCACAGATGCTGCCAGACCAGCTCAGCTTTTACAGCGATCTCTGTTTTTGATTCTGAAGAATCTGGACAGGGTTGGTGTGGATAGGATGGTTGCTTTTATGGGAGGAAATAGATCGTGAGGTTGTGGGGTCGGGGGGGGGGGGGGAACCTGTTTAAACACCAGGGGAAACCATCTAAAACAGATGAGGTGAAATTGTATCTCACCGGGGTCAAGCGTCTTTGCAACTCTGATCCTGAAAAGGTGATTCAAACACCTTAATCCAGACTCCTTAAAGCAGAGGTGGATAAATTCTTCAGAGATAGTAGGAACTGCAGATGCTGGAGAATCCGAGACAACAAGGTGCAGGGCTGGATGAACACAGCAGGCCAAGCAGCATCATAGGAGCAGAGAGGCTGACGTTTCGGGCCTAGACCCTTAAATTCTTGCTGGAAAGTGGGATTCAAGTAGTTTGGGCTGCTTTTGACCGACATAGTGGCACTCATTCAGCTGGTTCTTTTAAACAGGATACTAACAGGGGTATTAAAAGCACCAGGAGGCCCATAGGCTCCTTCAGACTGCTCCACTAACATGGAAATTACAGTCTCTGCCCTCACCCTTCCACCCCAACAAACCTCAACTCTCTCGTCCATCAAAAAGCTGTCCCAACCCAGCCTTGGTAAAATATTATCACCAAACCTCCACTGCTCACTGAGGTAGGAATAAAGCTCCAAATGAGTCAGGGCCAGAACGAGGAGTGATCCACATGCCTCGCAGAAACAGACAGACATAATTGCAAGCCCTGCGGGTACCCACAGGCACCCCTTTTATTTCAAAGGAAGGGAGGAGAGTGAAAAGGAGAAACTGCTCAAGGAGGTGGAGGAAGGCAGCGCATGGAGTCAGTTGGGTCTACGTCCAGGGAACCCTCTGAGCATCCTGGTGGAGAACAGAGGTGTAGAGGGACTGGATCTCGGGGTTCCCCCTCACCCTGATCTTTGAGCCTCTCTCAGTTTTAATTACACTTCAGCTGCCTGGGCACTAACCTCTGGAATTCCCTTCCTAAATCACACCAGCCCTCCCTCTGTCTGGTCTTTAATGAGGCTGCGTAAAATTTACTTTCTCTCTGCACAGACATTACCCTGTCCCGTTATCATCTCCGGTGGTGTCTTTTTCACTCTGGTAGCAGTCCCACACACCTTTGCTCTGCGCGTACCCCTCCACAGCGAATGGTCTTCTGCGCTAGCCTCGGGGTGTCCCCGTGGAAACCACTTACCTTCGATCCCCAAAGCATCCAGCAAATCCGAACACAATTCAGCCACGAGGTTGACGACAGCTGTGATGCTGTTGATCGCAACTTGCCAGTAGTGCAGCAGGGTCTACGGGTTAGAAAATGCAAAAAAGGAGGGGGAGGTGGGTGGATGTCATATTGCTCAGGCACAGGGGATCCCAATACAAGGCAGAAAGCCGAAGAGACTGCAGAGTCCAGGAGAGAACAGAGTGGAGACAGGCTGCATTTGAAACGTGAAGAGGAAGAAGAATTCATTACAGACCCATC